TTCTTCACACTCACGAACCCAGCTCTTGGTTAAAAGCTTGGCCTATCACAGGTCCAGACCAACGTTTCCAGTTAAAAACCGATTTTATATCTTACTAATGATGCTTCAAGTATGTATCTCTAAGATCACATCATAAATATATAGGTTGTAAAACAATTTGCTGAGTTTTAAGGACACAGACAGCACAGACAAGCAAGTATTTATATTTAATACACATGTTAAATAGTTGCCAAATACCAGGTGGGCTCTAGTTAAATTTCCTCAAGACGAGCTTGCATTCAAAGAGCTTTACAGTCGTTACCTTAAATGTGGCATTATTTTTCCATTTTTCTATTTTGTGATGTTCAGTAAACATTCTGAAGGATTGTTCAGCAATTAGAAGGCGGAGGCTCCCCCATCTTGAGGCGCACACGCGCAACATTAGACAACTTAAAGCTTGAAGATAGTACTGCACCATGAGCTTTGCACGTCAAGGAGGTGTTTATTCTATTCAATATAAGGAAGAAAATCATAAATGTATATTTAGAAGCCAAGCTTCCGACAAAACACAACAAAGGAAACCTTATACATGTGTATATATGTACGTGCAGGTGAGTAAGCCTTCAGGTAAAACCAAACTACATCCATCCACACAGGCCTGGGACTTGCTCAGTTACTTAATATAGTTTACCAGGAAAGCGGTTGTTAATTTAATTGGAAATTTTGCAAGCAGCATATTAAGTGCCAGCATTCATAATGTGCGTATGCATTTCGTATGAAGAGGCTGCCATCGTTTTCTGGGAAAGCCCAGAATATGCAACTGTTCAAAGCTATATTGGGTAGCCACAAATGCATGTGTATATGTATGTATGTGAGTACATTGCAGTGTGTGCAGTTTGAAGGTAAAAACATGCCCAATTCAGATATTGGTTACTGTACAGATTCAAACAACTAAATCAACTATTTTAAGAAACTTCTCTGCAGCGCACAAGAATGAAAATAATATTTATTAGTTTTAATTTGTTATTGAGACGCCCACTTCAGAGTACTGGGATTTTATACACAAATATTTTTGGATTTCTATATTTATAGAATTTAATATGTACATAGAACATATAAAACCAACCAATATTTGTTGGGCATGTGTTATTGAGAGCAGCAGCAGTCCGCGTATTTTTGTTTATTTTATTATGTTTGTCATACTCTCAACACTCATATTAAGCCCTGAACCAGAATTGGGCGCAGGCCGCGAATTTACCGAACATGAAATTAACTTTTGAAAGAAAGAAAGCCCAGCTCGATGCACAAAATAGTATTATTTTTTTTTTCAATAGTTATATTTACATAATATATACTTCACTCTTACTCTCACGGATATCTCCGAAACGTCCGTTTGAATTCACATGAAATTTATAATTTATTATATTATTAAATTTATATATTATTATACTTTTGGGCATATCTCAGTGCTTATAAGAGTTTAAGACCTCAAAGCGTTTTTGAAATAATTTTATTAAATTAAAAATGCAGTTTTTCGGATAGCTTACACAAAAAACGTATTTTTTCGAGCGCACCCTTGGGGGTGCGGAAAGAGGAACATACCACAATATCTGCTGGCTAACAGGGTATCTATGCAGACATTCCTCATCTAATATTCCCTTCCCTACTTTCGTTAACATTTGTATTTGTTTTTATACAGTGCTCCTCTGAAAATGGGTAAGAGGGGTATAACCAACAGGCAGAATGAGGCTAATCCGAACACATAATGTATATATATCCAGGCTCAACATCGACAGCCCAGTTAATCTAATAGTAGTTTATATACAACTCATCAATCTCAGATGCTATACGATCTACATTCTTAAAATTTAAAACGATTCTCTCCTGAAAAATCGATTAACCGATAAGAATGCCTCGAAGATTATAAAGGCAAGGAACACCAAATATTATATGTATATTATACATACTTTTTGCTTACCTTCTCCTATTCCCTATAAAATTAAATTAAGACTAGGTTAAAATAGGAGTTATAACCTTGCGCTTATGCATTAATCCAATACACACATTTATGGCCTAGAAAATTGCAAAGGAATCGGACCTTAAACAACTAAGTATTAAAGAAGTAACTTCCCATAGTGTGGTGTTGAGGAAGGGAGTACATGAAAGGCGCAGCTTGACGCCTAGTCGTGCACGCCCGACTAGACCACGTTAACTTACTTTGTTTTTGAGCTTTGCAACTGTTAAATATACGCCGAAGCTGTCGGCTGCTGCTGTCGTCTGTCTTGTCGTTAGTTTTGTGCACTTGCTCAAAACTGGGAAGCCGTTTGTGTGTGGGCTTACTTTTGAGGCCCGGTTGGCCCATTTAATCTAATACTCTTATGTAGTTGCATTGGGATACTTAGAACTCGTCTCTGACAGCTGACAGCAAGCTGCAAACCTTGTCAAAGAGCTCTGGCCGTATAACTTAACCTATCATGTTTTAAATTTCACTTTGCCATGTGCTTATTTATTTTCTTTTTAATGGAAGCTTGTTTACTGCGAACTTGTTTACAAGTGACTTTGACGTCGGTCATGAATTCGCAGAAGATAACTGATTAATGTGCCTTGGATATTTTTCTATGAAAATTGTAAAGGTCACTGTGGAGCTGGGAAAATACGCTGAAAACCAACGACTTTCATCCTTCTGCCTATTACATAATTTTGCGGAAACGTGTGCAGCAGGCAGAAAGAGTCAACTACGACCCCATAAAGTACATATGCACATTCTGTCTTTTTGTCAATCCGGATATCATCGGTAAAATCGATCAAATTCGGTTTCGAAATCCAGCTCTTTGAGCATGTCTCGGAGCTAATTTAAGCTAGATAAATCAACCACGTTCCAGAGTATTTTAACTTTTTGCATAGCCGTTCCTCCCAGGCACTCTATAGTCTTGGGCTTTGGCATTTAAACACATCTGGTTACCATATAAATGCTTTCAAAATATCATAACGATCGGATAATACACACCGAAGTTAGTCAAGAACGAATTTCTCAAACTGTGTCACTAAGGGAAGAGCAAGCACATCCGCTGCTCAAATGGCGCAGCATGCGGCCTGGGTAGATGAAGAAGATGTTTATTTTAAGCCACAGTAACACAGTAAATGTGAAAACCAATTCTGATTTATGCTTCGCTGCGATTGAGCAACCTTTTCTGACTTTAACTTGGAACGACCGTCAACATTCCATTTCTCGCAGCAACGAGCACAGCGCCCTTTTATCTTGTATTTGAGCAATAATACTCCATTTCCTAATGGGTTTTTTTTCTCATACATGCAAGTCTGCAACCTGAGCTCGTCTATTGTTTTATCTGCATGCTAGGTCAAAAGTATCTATCCGAAAGTTCTCAAAACAACTTGGCAAAATGTGTAACAACTTAAATCAGATCTATTAGATCGATCCGATAATTCTGCAGCTGTGCGATGTGAGTTGAAGTCTTTTTATAAAGCTGATCCTTCTTATCCTTGTGTATGAATCCTAAGAAAATCTAACTTCAACAATTTGTATATCCTTTTAGAGTGTTTGGTAGGGTACACAGTGTATCTCCTAGCTCTACACTCCTGATGTCATGTATTATAAAATTAATCAAGAGGTCTTAACAAGTTATGTTTTGACGGACGTTGGGGCTCTTGAGACCTGGGCGATGGGTATCTTCCAGTCACGTGCTCTCGGTTATTGCAAATTAATGGGCCAAGAGTACGTATTGAAACATTCTGTGGTTCCAAGTGGCTGGCAATTGGCTTAGCTCTCAATTAGTTTGCGTATTGCTGACTTTGTATACTCAAGAGGGCAAAGTGGATTTTTGAAACCATTTTTGGTCGAAATTCCCATTGTCATCAAATCCACTTTGGCCAAGTTCACAGAAGCACGCACAAGAACAAGAACAAGAACACGCACACGCACACAGACTAATCAATTCGTCTGTGGACAGAGTTGGCTTTCTTTCCTTTCCGGCTGTAGGAGCCATGTCAAATTGCAGTGCTGGTTCTATAAACTGCTGCCAGCAGATGCTCAACAATTCCACACTTTCACTTAATGGCGGGGTCGCCGAGGGAAGCGGCGCCCAACCTTAGTGCACTTAACTGTGCACCTTTGTGGCATGTACATGCACATGCATATATATCTCTCTCTGTGTGTGTGTGTGTGTGTGTGGGTTTTGGAGTTTTTGGGCATTCGCAGTACCTTAAAATGTGGCACAATCATCGCATAGACTCTCTCAATCACATGTGGGAATTCAATTAAATGAACGGGCCGCAGCAAGTACAAAAGAGGCAGCTGTAAATGCTTAGATTTGCAGCAAAGTGCAACAACAACAACAACAACAACAACAGCAACAACGGCTGTGCGTAGCACTTTTGTTGCACTCGCAGGCCCACACACATATACAGAGAGAAGGGCATATATATGTGTTTATAAATAGATCCCAAAGCGTCCGGAAGTCACTTCCAGCTAACAACGGAAGTTGCAAACGTCTGCTGGTTGTTGTTATTGCTGCTCCTGCTGCTGTTGCTGCTGTTGTTGCTGCTGCTGCTGCTGCTGTTGTTGCTGCTGCTGCTGCTGGTGTGTTTTATAATCGCTTTTGAGTTGCGTACAAGCGACGGCAGCAACATGAGCCCGTCGCCAGCACCAGCACCAGCGTCAGCGTCAGCGCCAGCGCCGTTTGCCGTCTCGCCTGGCCAGCCAACAAGGCTCGGCTGTTATTCGTGTGCCCTTTACCGAGTCCTGGCTGCTGCTACTGCCACAGCTAGTGGCATGCTGTTTGGCTCCATGTTTAGTCATTGAGCAGTTCTTGAGCGCGTCGCACGTTGACGGCAACAGACCGACAGCAGTTCTCTTAAAAGTCAGTGCTTTTGTTTTTGGCGCGCATTTTTAATTCACTTTTAAAGTAGCTACATTTTTATTCTTGTGCTCCTTTTTTTCTGTACATATATATACATATATATATAATTATATTTTTTTTGAGTGCTCAAATCAAATTCAGAAATAAAACGCAACTGCAACTGGGTCCGGAGAGCTGCACAAAATGCGTGATCATCCAGCAGTGCCCAATGTGTTTCGAGTGGCCTCCTCGCACAGTATAAACAGCATGGGCGTAACGGCCACGCCTCGCAACAATAGCAAGCAGCAACAGCAAATGCAACAACAGATTGGCAACAACAACACTGAATTGGGCAAGAGCAACAGCTACGAGCAACAGCAACAGCAACAGCAGCAGCAACCAGCACAGATGGAACTACAACCGCAACAGCAATTAGCTAAGCATCAGTTAACCACCAGCGCATCCATTGAGCAGACCCGTCAATCCGTGCAGCCACAGCAATCGCCATACGCAACGCTGCCACGCGGCGGACAGCAGCGACGCGCACAGCAGCAACATCTGCAGCAGCAGCAGCAGCAACATATGCAGACTGGTGTCATCAACACCATTTCCGGCAGCATTCCAGCAACTGGCTTTTCATCGCTGGCGGGCAGCTTCAGCGACTTGCAGCTTAACAATCTAAACCATAACAACATCAGCTGCAGCAGCAACAATAATGATAGACGACAGCAACAGCACCAACAGCACCAACAGCAACAGCAGCAGCAGCAGCGACAGGTGTCTTCGCTGGGCACCTACAAAACTGCCGAGCAACAGCAGCAGCGGAGAGCGACAACTGGCGCCGGCGGCGCCAACTTGGATGTCCAGAGCGGACTCAGCAACATGGTTAACGCCAATGTCAGTGGCACTTTTCTATGGCTATTGACACCTGTTGCGGCTAGGTAAGTGTCATGGCATTTGACTTTTATTGCTCTGAAAACTGTTTAACAAAATTAAGTAACAAATGGCATGCACATATATTTTTATGTGCTTCACTAATTGTTCCCTAATTGAACTCCTTCCCGAAATGGGTTGAGGTTTTTTTGTTGAAATTTCAACATTGACTTTATATTTTAATATAATTTTTATGAAACTTCGCATTTTACTGCATTTTTAATACGGAGCAAGGTTATAGCTTTAAAGGTGATCTAAGTAACAATGTAACTATTGAAAATGGTCTCAAAATGTGAGTATATGAAAGTAGTACAAAAATAGGCATAAATCAGTGGAAATATAAAAAAATACATATGCCACTTAACGAAAACATGTTGAGCAACTGGGCCCAGGAAATCTCCGTGTATGGCAGACCCAGACTAGAGATTATTACTTTTCTTTAATTCTTGTGTGTTCTCAATACTAAAAATGTATTTCATTATCATCCCATTGTGGAATATTAAATTGGAATAAAATATAATATAAAATAATATATTTACTTGAAAATATTAAATTTTTTATACATCATTTGTTATTTAATGCTGGTTTTGGCGACCTTTCCATTTATGAACATTATTTAGCTAAGGTCCGAGATTTAATTTGGTAAAATCATAAATGAAATACAATTTTGCTGTTGAAAGCGCCACGTCAAAGAGTAAAATAATTGTCCTGGAAACGGTTGCCGTGGCACAACCGAAAAATTTCGGAGAAATATATGCATAAAAAATATTTGTTTTTAATTTTTAATGTAAATAAATTAAAGCCCGCACCTCAAGCCTGCTCAATAAATATTTAAAATTTTTAATAATATAATATATACATAAACAATATTATATATATATATAAAATAATAATAATACAATAATACATAATAATTTTTTTTGCTCTTCGTAATTTTTCCATTTTATAAATTATCCGCTTAGACTAATTTCGTAATATTAAAAATATGCATTAAAAACTTGCTTAGTTAGGCCATAAGTTAGACTAAGTCATGCAAATCGGAAACTTGTGCGTCCATTGTGACCTAGTGTGGACATACAAGTAATTGGCATCTGATTTTTGATTTTTTGTGTCCGAGTTGAGTTGTAGTTTTTTTTGTAAAGGGGCTCTAGTGCTCTCCTTTTGGGGGAACACGTAGCGAACGATATGCTCTTTTTACACTTAAACGATTTCATTCATCCTTCACTCATAAGCTGGATATAAGAGAGTATGACAAAATTTTGCATATATGTGTTTCAAGCGAATGAAAATAGCTTCAATCCGAGTAAATATTGATGTGGACAACGATTTCTTTGCGTATTACCTACGGACTTAAAATTTTGTTTTATGTTTAAAAAAAGAAAATTTCCATTAAAGCATCGATTTTGAGGAGATCTTTAAGGAACTATAAGAGCTGTAATTATAAAATTTGGTATGTATGTATAATTATATTATTTAAAGTAAGCAATAGAGAGTACAATTCTCTTGGGTTGCTTCTCTTCTTAGTTACATAGCCTTACCCTTGGTTAACATTTGAAGGCAATGCTTTTGCCCTGGAAATATCATATGGATAATTAACATATGACAAATGATTTGTTGCAATCGTTAAATGTCGTTTCAAATGTTAGTTTGTTTTTCAATGAACCAGTTGATAATTTTCAGAGATGAGAACCAAATAAAAAACAATAACAGTTTTTCGCTTAAGTATTAATTAATTTGTTGTGACCACTATCTCAAGCTTTCGCCCATATTCCACCCAGGGCGGCGAAATAAATTTGCACAAAGCGCTTCGAGAATGATTTATAAATTGCAAAAGAAAAAACTGTTACACACATATGTACACACACCGTTTAAAAAAATCTTGAAATTTGCGCTTTATTCCATTGTGAAGTACATTGAAATAAAGTTGAATAAAGTTACGATTGCCGCAGGGCTATTTAATTTCTGGCTTAACACTTATTAAATTCAAAAACAATTTTTCGATTTGTAAGGTTGAAATTCCTTGCAGTCCCACAACTTTGTCAAGCGAAAAGACGAAGGACAGGAATACTTATAAAGCGGTTGCCAAAGTATGGCAAATATGACAAGAATTGTTTGGGTGCAAACTGAAGAAACCGAAATCCAAATTGAGATTGTCATTGCGTTGAAGGAGTGTAGCCGAGCTGAGTTGCCAACTTTTCGAAATTAAGCACAAAAATTTGTGTTCCTAAATGTGAAATGTAAAATGTGGAGGCGGAAGAAGAGGGTTGGTTTTGGGTACAAAAAGTAGATGCTGCTCAAGCAAATGATGAAGGCGACTGCGCCCACAGTCACTGCAAATAGTTTGCGAACAAATTAAGCCCACTTTGCAGTGATTTGTGTCGCTAACACAATTATTTGTCAGCGGCAAGGGCGACGAGCAGGAACGCAGCCTGGACCCCACGATGTTAGGATGTCTATGCCTGTGGCTGAGACTTTTCCTTTTGCGCCACAGACAGTGCAGCTGACGTCTTCAGCTCCAGCTCCAGCTTTGGCTCTGTTCGATGCTGCCCCCCTCTGTCCGCCGCTGCGCTGCCCTCTCCTGTTTCTTTCTTCTGTACTGTTTAGTCCCTCAATCTTGTTGCTGTTTATTGCCGTGTTGTTGTTGCTGCTGTGTTGAGCACGTGGAAATACGTGCAAAATACACGCTGCGTTCCTTGCCGCCATCAGCGGATGTGTGAGAGCAGGTGATGTGAAGGGAGGTGAGGTGAAGAGCCGATGCTCCAGTTGGCTGACAAATGTCAAAAGGCAATACATACGTGCATGTGGCCAAGCATATATATGTATATGCATATATTTGTATTTACATACAATATATACATACATACTACATACATATATATGAATATTACTGAATAAGTAGAGCTTTGCATCGACTTTCCTCGAGAGACTTCTAAGGCTTCAAGCTGGACTGATTGAAGCGTCACGATTTAATATCACATGACAAATACACGTTTTTATTAAATCTGTGAAAAAGGAAATTGTCGAAGGCCAAACATTATGATATGTCATTATTTTACATATCTTGACTGGGAAATATATGCAAATTCTCATTTAATCAAATTAAATATGTTTAATTCGCGTACATTCGCATCGTTTAAGTGCATTCATGAGTGCCTTTTTGGCTCGCATTGCTCTATTAGTCACATATATTTTCTGCTGGCAAGGCTTGATCCGGGGCTGCTCCCTCCACCCCCTTTAATATGATATTTGTGCGCATTTTTTTAAGCCAACAATTTGCGAGACATTTATTTGCATATCAGCCAGGATGTCGCTGGAAGCCCATTCGCTTTTTGTGTTCACCTTCCTTTGGCATTTGTGCTTCGCGTCGCGGTTTCTTTATACCCAGCGCGCATCACTTACATGTGGCATTTCAGTTATATCCGGTAAAAGGTGGCAATTGCGCGAGGTCTGACTTCTAAATGAAGGTAGCTTTGTGACAAAAAAGGAATTATTCGGGGCTCCAAAAAAAATCACTTCAAAGTTGTTAAGCAGTTGACAATGCTGTAGAGATACCCTGTACCCAGCTGCATGCTGTCGTAGACTACATTTCTATTGACTTAAATATACTAGCAGTTGTTAACCGGCGTTGACCGGCGCTGCTCTTCTTTGTGATCTAACTAGATTGATGAAAAGGTGACTTAAATTTGGTATTATTATAACCGCCAAATGAAATAAACATTTCCCCGATTTAACGTGCGGGTAGATTTTTCACAAGCGATTGCGATGCAAATTCATTTATTGCAGGAGTGGGATTTTCCAGAAAGATTGAAAAAGGGCAACTACTGAGATAAATTCAGCTTTCCAGCTTTAACGGTGTGCTGTATTCAACTGGTCAGCTAGTTATTCAGGACAAACATTTTTCGACTAAGCTAGCTGCGTCTAATTTTGAGACTATTGCTGCTAGAAATAAATGATTGAGATCTCGCATGGCATAAAATACACTTTTCGATAAATATATTTCTGAATGTGTACGAATGTATGTTAAGTATATTTGAAACTGAAGGATAATCATAGCAAATGTAGAAGATATGTATATATAATACAGAAAATATAGCAGGCATCTATAATAGAATGTTTGTAACGGTAACTGAGCGATGGCTTCAGGGTATCTTCCAGTCGGGCGCTTTCTAGACTAGAGCACTCTTAATTGTTCTATCAAATATTCAGAATGACAATATCGATGAAAAATAAAATTAATTGTGCAAACCCGTATACATATATGTTGTTCGCTGGCAAATTTTATTTTAGAATAGACCAAACATGCAAATTTCCACTGAAACAGTAGCGACCGCACGTTTAAGCCAGCTCTGTGTTCAAAAAGATAAAAGGAAGCATTTTAAGTCGCTGCCAACCCATCCCACTCCAGCCAATGCAATTACCGCCTGTTAATAGAGAAGGACCTTCAAAGCAAATTTATGAAGTTTTCGTACCCAGTGTAATTGCAACATTTGCAGCACCTCCGGGCTAAAAGCGCTGTTTGAGGAATTAAAAGTCCTCAAGTTCTCCTCCTTTAAATCAAAACCGATGAGGTTGTTAAGTGAAAATACTGCGATTTGTATCAGTTAAAAAGAATTCAGCAATCCACCTGAATAGAAAGTTGCTTAAACTATTCACTTATATTTCGAGAATTTTAATTCAATACCCCCTTTGAAATGACGATAATAGATTAAAATAAACACACTCATCCCAAATTGATAATATAAGTACATTTCACTGAATCGGTTTGCTATTAACTTATTCAGTTGTAAAAACCTGCCCTAAAAAGTATGCTTTAATTATTTCAGCGAGACTTGCGCGAAAGTTAAAATGGAAATTAGTATTTTAGGTATTCGAACGCTATGCCATGGCGGAAATATTTAGCATGCCCATTTGTTCATTTCATTCGTTGCTGCTAACGACACAGATATCAGATATTTTTAATCAGCATTCAGACATGAAAACTCACACGCACACACCATCCCACACACACATGATGGCTCTTCTATATAATATTACAGGGCGCACAGGCTGTGTGTGTATGCATGTGTATTCGTGTGTGTGTGTGTGTGTGTGGGGTAGGCGTGCCGCCTTCATTTGGAACATGCACAGACTGCAACTTAGACTTGGCATCATTTACAGCATTTCGGTGGCAATTGTTATCGCCGCCCTGGCCGGTCCCCAGTGGCTTTTTACGGAGGAGAAGCTGCCCAATGCTAACTATAATGGCACCGCCAACTTTAATGCACTGGACGATGGCGCCTATGTAACGAAATATACCAAGTCTAGCCTCTGGATACTGTGCACAACGCTGCCAGGTGAGTGAAAGTGCGTGGATTAAATGAGAACAAATGCGTGCGGCAATGACATTGCGCATACGTCATGTGGTCCAGGCAAGATTTTGGCTGTCATTGGGCGTTAATAAGGTGACAAGGAACAACTAAATGAATACAAACACAAACACACACACGCACACACACACATAGACACAGAAACAGACACCACAACAATGCAGTCTATCATCCCGTCAGTTAGTGAGTCAGTCAATCAATCAAGCACACAAATAAACCGAACAACTGCCTCCAATTAGCGCCAGTCGCTGGCAACTGAACTGATTTATTTGGTTGACAGCGCTGCCATCCGAAACTTATCCAATAGCTGCCATGCATGTCATGTACTTCTCTACGTAATTATGTATACATATATTTTTTTCTGTTTTTGTTTCTGTTAACAAAGTGAATATTGGTTTTGCGTCCGTTCGTCAGCTCATATGAATTTCAAATTTTCGAAATATGCTCGCGTATCGCGTGTCACAAAAAGCGTTTGGTAAAAATATTTCGCTTCTATCCATCGAACAGCAAATGAAAAAAATCACTATACATATATCTAGTTTAGTATTATTCTTATTATTATTATTGTGATTATTATTATTATAATTATGATTATCATTACTGTTTTTATTTTTATTATTATCATTATTATTATTTTGATTTATATTATTATTATTTTTCTTATTATTATTATTATTATTATTATTATTATTTTTATTATTATTATTATTATTATTATTATTATTATTATTATTATTATTATTATTATTATTATTATCATTATTAATATTATTATTATTATTATAATTATTATTATTATTATTATTATTATTATTATTATTATTATTATTATTATTATTATTATTATTATTATTATTATTATTATTATTATTATTATTATTATTATTATTATTATTATTATTATTATTATTATTATTATTGTTCATTTTAATATTTTCCTTAAGCAGCTGCTTACATCCGACTGAAACGAGAGCAACTAAGTATATTTGTATTCTTACAGGTCTAGACGTGGACACATTCAACTGCGTCAAAATTGATTACTTCCCAAATGAAGGCTATCAACCTGACCCGCACGACTCAACGGCAGCCATACCCTGTAAGTAGTGCAAGAGATTTTCAAACTCTGGTGTATTTAGTTTTTAAATTATAATGTATGTATACCAGACTTTTGAATAATACAGAAAAATAATTGGAAGTACTTAATATGCACATTCGCCTTTATGGGATACCAGAACATCTCTTTCATTCATTCATTCACAAATCGGAAAGTGTAGGAAGTGGCAAAACATTGCGCTGTGATTCGCAAGCAGTTAAAGCGTACGGCACAAGTCATTTACATTTTGTGTTATATATATTTGATTGACATATGCAGGCATACAAATTGATTTTAATTGCGGGTTTATAAAATAAATATTTAATTTTAATATTGTTGAAGCATTTAATGACAATATAATTGCATTAAAGCAATTGATTTGTTGTACATTCCGATATCATAGCCTTTCGGTTCCCAGCCCCAGCCTGAATAGCATCAATTTGGATTTTTTTATTGTATTTTTTGATGAAATTTTAAGCGATTTCCACTTTCAATTCTCTTTTATTTTTATTTATTGTAGTTTTTCTTTTTTACCTTGAGATTGCAATTATATGTTTGCACAATAACAACAATCTCAAATATTTCATTGATTCGCGACGTCAATTCGCAGCGAACAGCAAACTTGAAAATAATTTGAAAATCGCTGCGGGTGACAATTTTTTGCTTTGTAACAAACTATTAGATAGCAAAGTGCTTTCCTTTCACATCGTTCGACATTTTCCCATTAATTTTTTATTACGTTTATTTATATTTTAAAGCTGAGCCGCGGGCAAAAAACACACGGCCTAACCAAAGCTTTGACTTTTTTCATGCTATTCACGTTGATTGGGCTTGTTTAAAAGGGGCGAAGAAAGTTATTGATGTGGCAGGCAGCAGTTAGCATTTTTACTATATTTTTTAAAGGCATTAAATCTAACCAGATATTTTCGTTGATCTTAGAGAATTTAGGAGCTACAGACTAATTATATATCCAAGTTAAGTATATACATAGATTCTTTTTTGATATTTGATGGATATACCACGCATATTTAATATTTACACTAGTATGGGTCTTTTGAATGTTCCAAAAGATTTGGGAAATATTTATCACGTTAAATTGTTAATATTTATATTTAATATTTATGCATAACTAGATATATGTATAATATGTGGCTATGAATAAGAGTATAAACGTACTTTGGGCCATGGTTGAAGCATATTCCCTACTGATTCTTATAAGTTTTTCATTACTTTTGTCTATTTTACCTTTATTTAGATACGGTAACTAAGACCTGCCCCATCTTTCTGTCCGCCGGCATTTTGCTATTCATCAGCTTTATTATCTTTATGATACCCACGTGTTCGCATCAGAACAGTCTGTACTATTTTAGTGCCGGAATACTATTTATCGTTAGCGGTAAGTTAACATTGCAAAACTATGGTTTCTTTCTTCTTGAATAATGCTGGAGCTTTATTTATTACAAATTATACAATGTACATATTATTGTTAGCTTATAATATCAACTCATAATGTAGGGGCTTGGCCATTTCATAAATATACCATTGTTTTATGTTTATTTATTGTTTTAGGTAGAGTAGAAGTGATGTGTATTGTAGGTACATTATAGCTATATTCATACATAGCACATTAGTATGTCTGGGCAGATTCTATAGCGTGAGACTTACCAAGTCAACAGGATTTATTCATAGCAGCCTTATTCCGTCCGTACTCCTTCTCCTTTCTACTAGACATCTGGTTATTAAGGTGATCTACCAACTTCTCCAGGTACTTGACAGCCTGTTTTTTTATGGTTTGCCCGAACATTGGGATTCCACATTCACGCTCAGTGTCGCTCAGTCTCAGTCAATTGGTCTTATCCCATTCTGATGCATTTTGGCAGCGATCCATTATAGCTGAACCATATATCGCTAGATGTGGCAACGATTACTTTGAGTTTTTTGTTAGCGTTGAGTAATTAGCTCATCCTTGGTTGTCTTTGAAGACTGCCAACAACTTGAGTAAAAATCCCGAGGTACTTGTGAGATGTGCTATAAGCCAGTAATTCTTCATGAAAGAACAGACCAGGACACATTTACTTCCTGAGTGCATTGGTGACGCTGACGCAGTTCTTGAGCTTTAAACGGAATACTACATTATCAAAAAAAGAAATTTTTTAATATTAAAAGAACGGCACGCCGATGATTAAATATCCGATTATCACTTGGAAAAAGGCCAGAAGCCGGCTATGAGCTGAACCGGATCTCATTCGGAATTTCACATTGTTTTTATTGAACTGTACAACCGAACCGAGACGCAAATCGAGCTATATATTTTTCGAGATCGCCGCCTCAACTCCAGCAGAAATGTTCGATTATTATGTTTTCGTAGCCAGTTGCTTGTTTAACATTATTCATTTGCCCCGAGCGACGCCGGGTAATTGTCTTTTAATATGTATTTTTTTCTGTTTAATTATCCCAAAGGTCTGGTCATGCTCATTGGTTTGATAGCCTATATATCCATACTGAAGGCCGAGATCGGCTCCAAGCTACGACCACGCTCTACACTGCAGCCGGCGCTTATCAAGGTGACCTACGGCCAGAGTTTTTTTCTGTTCGTCTTTGGGTTCATTGCCACTGAGTTTGTCGGAGTGCTCAACATTTTCCTCTTCATTAATCTGCAGGAGTTTAGCTATTACAGCGTAAGTATTGCCGGGCGGCGGCCGCATCCGCTTCGGTAATTATGCATAACTTGGAAATGGGCTATTACATTTCCTTTCGACCCCCACTTCCGGATGAAAGCGGCGAGGCAAAAGCCGCAACGAAATTAATTCCATGCAGTTCTTGGACGCAGTACTTAGTTAGGTGTCAGGATTGACTGCCTCGGTCAGCAATTATGGCCACTGTCAATCTTTCAACAATTATTTCATTACGACCCCAAAACACAGGTGATAAAAATGATTAGCAGTAGATAATTACAATAGTTAATCTATATTTAAACGTTTCATATATACCAGTTAAACTAAATTTAAAATATATATAAAAATAGCTAAAGAGGACAGCCATCTGCGGGCTGCAGAAAATTAAAGATTCTTGCGTACATTTTCGACCAATTGTTAAATAAAATGGTATCCGAAGTTGGTACATTTTTGTTTTGTAATCTTTTTAACTTTTTGCTGATGGATTTAGTTGGCTGTATATTTGTATATTTTGATGTAAAAACTCATTTTTCGGGCGATTACTAATAGGTAGGTTAAAGTAAGCCGAAATATGTTGAGTTGCTGTAATATATAAACCTGGGGTCGGATATAATTCTTTCTGCATGCTACAAACATATGCGTTAATAATTATACTCATTCCCACTACTGCGTGCCATCGAAAAGAGAGAACAGAGTATTGCGCAGTCGGCAACAACCGATTTGTCTTCTCGTAATACTTAATTCATTATGCAGATTTTTTTTTAATTCACACTCCTTGATTTTAAGCAGCGCCTACCTTGCTTCAGTGTGGCCGACATACAAGCCAGGTGCAAGGAGGGGCAGGGGGAGCATGTCCTAAGCCATTCGTATAAGCGATATAAGCAGCCGGGCACTGCAGCTGCTGCATCCCAGGAGACACCTCCGATGCCATTGCATGGCCAACGGGAGCAACAGCAGCCATCTGGCCACCAACAGCATCCGCGCCAAATGGCGCTGCGGTCGAGCAATGGACGATTGCATCAGGTGCACGATGCGGGACGTGGTCCCAGCCAGACGCAAACTCTACCTGCCGGCTATGCGTGCCGCAAACATCCAAATGCTGGCGGCTCCAATTTGAACCTCTATCTTCACAACGATCTGGAGCGTCGGTAAGTAGGCAGCCACAGAATCGTTTGCCACGGGGAGAACAGCTAATGCCATTGGGCCTCGCCTTACAGCTTCTACTTTGAGAAGCCGGCGGTTTCAAAGTGCAATGTGCATTCCCGCAGCTTTGCCAAGTCCTTGAATGAGCTGTGCATGGAGCCAGCTTTGCCGGCACCGGCACCACCGCCACCAGCAGCAACGTTTGCCGATCTGCCCCAGGAGTTTCCGCTGACGCGCTCCGTTTCGACCACGACGGACATTTACACGCCACCCTCGGTGCAGCCGCAGCGCAAGCAGCGACGCAACATGGCCACCAACACCCAGACTCCATATGATGACGAGGAGGAGCAAACGGCACGCCTATGCGGCCTGAAGCGCGGCCTGCGCAAGACCAAAGACGAGCTGTTCCAGGAGTTCTGCAAGCGCGCTGGCATGCGCAGCAAGCCTAAGAATATTTACTACATTCCCAGCGAGGAGGCGGATGATGCGCCCCCGTCCCAGGAGCCTCAGCCGCTGCGACGCAGCTACGAGGAGAGCCACAAGAGCAACCACAACGATGATGACGACGATGACGATGGCGATGATCATGGATTTCGACAGTTTCGCTCTGGTCCTACCTTGGACGAAGATCATCTATATGTCGTCGGGGGTAAGTGGCAAATACATTTGTATATAATTACCACCAAGCATACAAAAGATAGTCTTCAAATCGACCAAAAATTGGTCGAGCGATTTTCTGTTGCGACAAAGTTTACGTGCTTGCGTGATTACGTCCATTTATTACCTATGTTACCCAACTTTTCCCTGGCTAAAATGATTTAGTAAACTTAGTAAACGCTGATCAAAAGAGAAAATTTCATTATTTTTGTAAAGTTAATTTTTTTTAATTATAATCTTATTATTGCTTTTTCTTTGTAAACAATAAGCAATTGAATTTAAAAAATTTTTTACAAATTTTTAGTTTAAGCTATGGTTGAACCACCGACCTGCCGCTTATTAGTTCGACTCAGTTTTTTTCGTTGAATTCTTGACATCACTTTTTTACTAATCTTCCGCTCGTGAATACATTAAAATTTGTTCGTTTTATTTAAGTCTCTGGGCGTTGCATTTTTCAAACCCATCTCAAATGTAGATAGAGTCGGCAGACAGGTTTTTGCATAAAAAAAAGTTTTGCTTTTTAAGATATCTTCAGCAATTTCAGGTTCCTTTTTTTCTTGTTACGATTTAGTAACTAATTTATTTGCTGTTATTCCCAATATTATTAAGTTTTCACATCTATATTAAGGGGTAGATCCTGTCAAATAAGACTAAAAGCCGGAAGACCAGAAAAGTCAAAGAAGAATGAGAGATATTTTTATATAGTTAGCTGGGCTTTTCAAATGGGTTTCTATCTGTTGTTGCGTAGATATTAAGAATAAATTTTAAAGAAATTAATACACATTTTCGACTGCTCTACAGATCAAGCCCAGCTTGTGCTTCCCCGCCGCGTGTCCATGTGTGTGGATCCAATGCTGCCACCGTTGATGCAAACGCAGCAATTGCGCAAACTCAACTCAAATCTGTCGCTGCACACACCACAGTCGGACGCATGGCCCTGGCCGATGCAGCAGCGCCTGGCGTCGGAGCATGGCCAGAGCCGGACGCTGCCGCGGTGCTTCCTGCGTCAGCCGGCAGGCAGCCAGGACAGCCTGGGCTCGCTGCAGAGCAGCTACAGTGCCAGCCAACAGCGCTTCTCGCAGCTGATGCACCAGCACCAGCAGCAGTTGCACCAGCAGAACCGCTATCTATCCACGCTGACGCTGCCACGACCTTGCGACGAGGCACAGCTCAAGCCGCAGCCGGCGGTGCACTGGCCAACGGCCATACCTTCCTCGCCATCCAATTACGCCACCGGCTACCCACTTCCGCAGCCGATATACGCACCCGCTATTGCCGTGCCGGTGTCGAGCGCTGTCGCTGCATCTCATCCGCCCAAATTCCAGCGCGCCTACGCCTTCGACGACGCTCAGCGCCGTGCCAGCTTTGCCGTCAACGAGGGGTATGATCTTGACGAAATTGAGCGCGAACGCAGACGCTCTCATGCGAGTCTCTTCGGTGGTCCTGGCATGCCGCAGACGAGGGAGCAGTATGATCTCATTAATGGCACCGCAGTTTAAGGCCAGGATGAGTTTAGGACAACTGGTATATGTAGGTTGGAGGTTGAAGACGATCGGACAGCATCTATCTATACTCCACGCAAATAAATGTTTCCCTAAGCTTTAGAGAATCGCCATAAAATGAAAAGCTTCAGATTCAGAAATTTTTGTTTTGTTTTTTCATATTTAAAACAAACATTTTCTGCTTTTTCTAGCAAAAATATTTCTTTATTTTAGAAAATTTTTTTTTTTTAAAAAACTTTTTGCTTCTTAGATATTTTCTTCTACATTTTTGAAAGTTTACAAATGGTTTTTAGAAATGTTTATTAAAATTTTTACATTTTTTGGAGAAGCTAGCCTGTTTTTCTGAGTGTATGCTCGTTGGAAAACACCGACAATACTCTAGTCAACTAGAATGACATTTAAATCAAGGCTGCAATCGTCAGGAAATCATTTTAGGGGATTCGGCTTATGGCTCGGAATAATGCCTCGCCCTAAAGCTGGTTTCTTTAGTCTGGTCTTCTACGTCTGTGAATCTGGGATTGGATTCGAAACTTAGTTCACCTCATTTTTGACAATTTATTAACTACAATATTAATTAATTTTGCAAAATTTTGGTTTGCCTCAGATTAACGTTCGACTCTTTTCTATGCAACTAATCTTATAAAAGGCCTGGTTCATGGTCAATAAAACTTTCGAATTCCACCAGGCCCGGTTAAAGCCGGTCTTGCAGCCTTGTTTTAAATACTCTAGACAGTTTTTTAGACTCTCTGAATATATAAAATCAACTAATTGCGATAAATAAGCATTCTAAATTGAACGAAATTTAGGCTCGTGGACCGAACTTTAATGCCAAACCATTCGGTCCAAAAAGTGAAGAAATCCAGCGACAATTTGATCTACTATACTTTAACTGACAACATATGATGACTTTTAATAATTTCAAAATAATACTCATAAAAAAAAAAACGAACGAGGTAAAAAAAACGTAATTCAGCCAAGATTTGTTTATTTTTGTGAGAACAACTATTTATTTGGACAGTTACGAATAAAAAAAAGTTCTATATTCAAGAATATAACCAAACCTAATTTATCTTAGCCTACCTCTTATTTTATATTGAATTTCCTCCACCCGAAGGATACTGAATTTTTCTGTTTATAGTTAATTGTTTATAAGCCTACTACTTCGACTTACTATATTTAATATGATAAGGTATTTATATGTATATTAAGATCTTTGGACATACTGACATAATTTTGGAGGAGCCGAGCTAAAAAGAGTTACTAACTTATCAAGAATATAAACTATATAGTATATGTATGCACGAGTGTATCAAGCTTTATTGTATTGACGGGGCTGGACTGGGGGCGATAGCTTTGCTAGTCAGGATCGCAGCGACACATCTGCGAGCGCGTCCAGCAAAGCAATCGTCGCGTCGCCGTATCATCACAGATTCACGCGTTTCCAGAACTCCAGGCTATGTGACAGGGCCGAGGGACTTGAGGATGCATGCGATGCGGATGAGGCATTGCTTACCAGCTGCGCGTACACCTCACGCATGGCAGTGGGACGATTGTCTAGGCTGCTGCCCAGATTGCTTCCCAGGTTGCTGCCCAGGCTGCTTGAATTGGCCGTTGTGTTGCCAACATCGCTTAGCGCGTCCAGCAGACCCAGAAGGTTCGGACCCCCAGCATGAGCTGGAGCCACCTCCGTGCGGCTGCTTGGCGCTGTGTGCGGCCGCTGGGCCAGAGCAGTGGGTGGGCAGGTCGAATTCAGTATACTTGTGGGTGCACTCCAAGGACGCGATGGTGGCTTCATGTTAGGCTTTGGCAAGGCATCTGCTCGTGTCGAGGCCTGTGCTTCGGCATGGGTGCCAAAAAGCTGATTCATTCTGGCCATGGAACGCTGCAATTTGCGACTGGCGGGCGGCGTTATCGCCTCATCGCCGCCATCCCCACCACTGCTCAGCCTATCCATGTCTGCCAGCGAGGTGAGCGTGCCGCTGCTTAGCAGATCAGCTTCCAGCTCAGCGCCGAGCTGCGATTCGGCGGTCATCAGCTGCAGGCTGGCGGGCTGGGAAACGCGCGCCAACGTCGCCTCCACGCGGCTCAGCAGATGTTGTGTCTCGTGCTGCACCTGGTCGGCCAGCATTTTGTTTGCCATCGCTGGCAGCTCCAGCTCCAGTTCCAATTGCGGAGCCGCCGCTGCTGCTGCTGGCAGCACTGGGTGTGAGGTAGCCTGTAGCTCCGAGAAGAGTTTGCGCCTGGCCACGGCAATGGCATTGGTGAACTGATAACTATCCTGATCCAGCTCGGAGCCACTGTAAACGGGTGATGCCACTGGCGGAATCACCGTGTTCAGCTGCACATCCTCGCGCCGTATGCGTCGCTGCCACTCCCGAAAGCTGTCCAATGTGCGATGGATCTGCTGGCGCTCGCGGGCACAGCTAGCGCGAATATTGAGCTTCTGTTTTTGGGCGCGCGCACGCTCCAGATAGCCCAGGAAGCTCTGCTCCAGCAGATCGCTCTCCTGCTCCAGCTGTAGCATGCGGTTTCTGCAGATTGATGGATCAATTAGTAAGCTGCATGCGAAGCATTCGGTGGGGTGTACCTACTTGGCGCTAAGCAGCGCTTCATTGAAGCTGGGCACGACTTGTGGGCGTGCATCCGCAATGGTGTGCTTACTCTGGCCATTGGTGTTGGTGGCAACGCTGTTTAGCTGCGGTCTGGGTGGCTCAACAGCAGCAGCGGGAGCGGGCGGAGCTGCGCCAGTTGAGGGCGCAGCTAAGCCCAGCACACTATGTGGAAACGACGCGGATATTGTCCTTGCTGTTGACGCAGGCGGTACTGGTGGCGATTTACATTTGGGTTTACTTAATGCGGACGGTAGACGACAGACATCGTTGTTGGTCTCCGCGTCGGTCCACACCGGCTGGATGCGTGCTGTCTGCTCGGCTGCCAACTCCGTTTGCTGTATCTTCTCGGCCAGCAGCTGGTGATGGGCCTCGTAGTGCTCCAGCAGCCGAAATATCTTGTGCACTAGCTCACGTGCTTCCGAGGAGTGCGAGTCACGCTCCACATGCCGGCACAGCGTCTGCAATGGATGTTAATTAAGGATGAGGGGAAATTAGGATCGAGCTGGTGGGCAACACTCACGCGCCAGGAGCTCTGCCTGCGACTCAGGCGCATCAGTTCGGCGTGATGACGCAGTTTCACATCAAAGAGCTCATCCAGGCGCTGCTTTTGCTGTTCCAGTGCTTTGTTCAGCGACAGTTCAACACGCTCCAGAAAGATGTGACCACTATGGCTGTGCAGCATCTCAAAGATCCATTGCTCATAGCTACGTGACGGTGATGCTTTAGTAGCGGGTGCCGGGGCGGGTACTGCAGCTGCAACTGGGACTGGAGCTGGAGCTGGAGCTGGAGCTGGAGTCGTCTGGCTGGCGGCATCTTTCAAACATTGCTGTATGTGATCCGTGTTGGTGGTAATGTGCCGCTGGCGCAATCGCCTCGTTTGGGTGGCGACCGTCTGCATTGTGCATGGTGCTGACAGTATTTGGGTTTGGCTGGAGGTGTCCCGATGCTGCTGTTGCTGCTGTTGCTTCTGGCACTGCATGCCTTCCTGCACGCCCATATAGTGGCCATGGGAGAAGCCCTCGCGATAGCCCAGCTTGAAGCCCTTGTGCCTGCCCACGGCGTACTCTTGCTCCATGGCCAGATTGAGCACATTGCTCAGCGTTTGTACACACCCGGCGAGCTCGCCCACCAGCGCCTCCAGCCGGTCCAGCGTTATGTACATGCAATCCTGGGGCTGATGCGTCTGCTGCTGGAATTTCTGCAGAGCCTGCTGCACCATGGCCAGGCTGGCCACCTGCTCCGCATGCAAGTGCGGCAGCTTTGGCACTGATGGCGAATCCGCCGGCAATTGTATGGGCCCCACCGGGGACAGCACTGTGTTGCCATCCTGTCTCGCCACCTGCGTCTCATGCTGCTGCGTCAGCTCTGGTAGCTGTATGGCCGTCTGTCCAGGTCCCAGCGTTTGTCCAGTAACTAGCAGACGCTCGCGCTCAAGTATCTCCTGCTGCAGCAGCTGCTCAAACGCTTTGAAGGGGATGATTTCGACAGGTGGCGCACAGGATTTACAGAGTGCATCCATGTAGTGCATCAGCTGGGATAGCTGCTGCTCGACGCCATTCAGCGACTGCGAGACGCGTGGTCCAATGAACACAGTGCGTCCGTCGGCGGCCACAACCAGCTCCTCGGTCTGGTACAGGTGGCTGTTGTCACCATCTGGAGAACTTTGCACACATGCCGCCGGCTCTGTTTGCGTGGCCTCTGTCCTGCTCTCCCATGCCCTATGTGTCATTGTGCTTTCGTTGACCTGTGTCAAATCCGTGCGACGCGAATCCCCCAGAGTTTTGAGCAGCGCCAGCAGCAGCGACTGCTTCGGTTTGCCATAAGTCTGAAGTAACGTCTGCCCGAACTGAACCGGCGTTTCCCTGTGCTCGCCCAGCACCGCAGTGAGCACTTGCTGCAGCTCTTCCTGGTTAAATCGGAACTCGGCCCGACCCTCGAAATCGGGCAGCGTATGGCGATGCGGCATCTCGCTGCAGAAAACGGAGAGCGTGTAATGGAAGTTCTGCTCATAGAGAAACTCCGCGACGAGCGTGTGCAGCGCCAGCGCTATGGGCGACAGGAGCAGGCAATTCTGTTGCTGGCTCATCTGTGCAGCGGTCGCTGACGCCTTGCTCAGCAGCTGGCCTGGCAGCAAAATGGGGGTATTAATGCGCTGATGCTCTACCGAAAAACGAATGCCACTTACCCAGCGAGGTGCTGTTGAAGGTGTTGATGAGATCCATGCGCAGATGCGCATGCATCTTGCCCTCGATGCCCTCTTGCGCCATCCACTGGCGAAATTCTCGCTCGAAGTCTTGCTGCGACAGTTGCGCCAAATGCTCTAGCTGCAGTCGAAGCTTCGCGGTCTCCTCGTCAGTGGTGCCGGAGCTGGAGCCGGAGCCAGGAGTGGTGGCGGCAGCTGTGGCATTGCCGGCAGCGGTGGCATCGCCTGTAGCTGCAGCAGGAGCAGGGCCAGCGCAAAAGGTAACATTTCCAGCAGCAGTAGTGGCAGCAGCTGGTTTTACATGGATCTTCTCCGGCTGTTTGCCAGCTATTGCCGTCTGCGGCTTAGCTCTGTCATTGATGGGCTTTGACAACGGACGCGCTGTTGGCGGCGCCGGCGCCGGAGACGGCGTTCGTCTCCTTGGTACTGCAGCTCTCTTCTGCTGCGCCTGCGCTTCTCTCTCCTTTCTGGCCGCCTCGTGCTTGCGCTCGCGTTCGCATTGCTGTGGCTGTGGCTGGCGCTGTCTCAGTCTGATTAACTCTTCTTCTTTGCTGCGCTGCCTAACGGTTGTCAGTCGAGTGCTTCCGGCAGCGCTCGTCGCAGCAGCAGCAGTTGGCTTTTGCTTTGTTTTCATTCCGTTTCGAATTTGAACACTTGCAATTTTGTGCGCATCGGTAGAAGTTTTAGTTTCAGCTTTAGATTTTCGCTATAGCTTCAATCACAATAATTTTTTATTTATTTGTGCATATTTTATATGTTTTACTTGTTTCTGTGTTGCTCTTGTTCTCGCTCTCTTTGTAAATGTTGTTGTTTTATACTGCGATGTTGCCGGCACAGCCAGCGCTTGGTAAATAGTTTTGGGCGCTGCACCAAGCTGCAGCCACCACCGTCAAGTGGCAACCTTTGACAGCAGCGGCAGCGCTGCCTGCGTCGCAGGACGCGAAATGGTCAACTGCAGGCGGTCAACCGGAACGTGGCAGGTGCAGGAGCAGTCGATAATCAGTCTAGCGGTTTTCCAGTTGCTCATTGCAAGACTTGTTAGAATACATACGTACGTACATACATGTATGCTTCAACGAAATACACAAACATTTTGTGCACATTCAATCAAACATTTTACTAACACATTCGGCTTACAAATTGTTAAACATATCCTGTCATCAATATTGTTTTTCTTCTGCATATACATATATAGTTGACAGGAATTGTAAAATAAAAGCATTTGAAATACAAACGCCACAAATTGAGCAGCAACGTCCATCACACAGACAAAAGCTGCTTTCGTTGCCAATCGATATATCGATTACACGTGCTATCGGTGTTGCACAGCTATCGGCAAAGAATCAAAACAAAGACCACGCATTTATTTCGACAGCAAGCGTTCAACAAAGGGCACAAAGACGACTTGCAGGTAAATATATGCATAATGCGCACAAAGGCACATTTTAAAATGATGCCGCGTGCAGCGCATTCCTATGTGACGTGGTGATCTATTTAGTTTTTACACTAACCCAAAACAATTTCATCAGCAGTGAAAACGCGCAGTCATCATTTTCAGTAGCACTTGGAGCAGCAGTCAGTCACGCACAGCTCCCATGTCGCAGATTGACAACATTTTTAATCAGGTGCGTGCGCGCTTGCAGGCCCAAAGCATCAAGCTGTGGGAGGAGCCTTACTATTCCGAAGGCGTGGGCAGCATTGAGGCCTCAATTGAAGTAAGTGCACACTAGTCAGACCATGCAAACTGTAAGCATTTCCTTTGCCCACTGAACAGCGTCTGGCTGATGACTACGGCGCCCAGCTGGGTATCGACGCATCACGCTGCAAGTGCGTCCTCACTGAGCTGCAGGACAATGCGCTGCGGAAGCTCGCAGCTCGTCGGGAGTTCAGTGAAACGGGATTGGCCACGTTCAAGGTGCGACGGGTCGATAATCGCAATGGCACCACCTGCATACTAGACATCAAGTGTGACTTGAACGAACTGGGCTCCAAACTGCAGCAAACGATTGCGGCCAAGCTGCAGCTCAGCGATGCCAATCACGTAAAGTGCATCTCAGCGGGACGCATTATCTCTCCAAATTCAACGCTGGCTGCACAGCAGCTCAAAAACAATCAGCAGCTCATTGTGATAGTAGGCCAGGGCGACGACCAGAACGCGGCACTGCATGACCGAATCGGCAAGATCAAGGCGGATGTCGATGCGGTGGTCGCATCCCAGAGCCAGCTAATGGAGGTGGGTATACTAGAAATCATAGCAAGATCGAATAGGTATATTTGAAGTGCCAACGATTATTTATATAAATCTTTCATGACTGATCGTTCGATTGCTATATGATATAGTGTACTGATCCGATACACGAAAACTCGGAACTTTACAAAGATCCATTAAACACGTTTACGGGTTTTGACACCAATTTGAGGGAGACGGACATGACTATATCCACTCGGCAGTTGGACCTAAAGAATGCTAGCTAATATTTTTGTGCGGCCTTGCCCGGCCCAAGTTTTTGCTTCAAATTTAAGACATCACTGTTTGACCATTTCCCGATTCTGGACAGTGTAAATCTCCACGTTTAATCATTTCAGTCATTTAGTCAGTCAGTCAGTCAGGACAATCGGTAAATTAAACGACTGTAGTAAGAGCTCGCAAGCTAAGAGCGTACAAATAGAAGATACTTTGTTCGCATCTTTATACCGTCCAAAAATTTAAACGAAATTTGTTTACTTTGAACGCAATCTTTGAATTACATAGAGTTTAAAAAACATTTGAGGTCGATGGAATTTTTTGCTCATTTGTTCCCCATGGATGTCTATCCAGTCTTCAAAATTGTTCTTGCATGAATTTCTCAGGATAGATTATACATAGTGATAGGTATTGATATTGACAAGGTTAACAGAACTGGCAAATATAGAAAGCGAACCATGGAATGTTTAGTTCAGTAATGTTCGATCATAGCATTTTAATCTAGCGTTGGCTCCTATCATAGCTTCAAGAAGGGTATACATAAATCGATTAGAATTTGATAATAAGCTTATTCCCCATATAGATGGAGGATCAGGATGGCAATCCGGTGTTTCTACCGCCAAACGAGAATCGCGCACTGCTAACGGGCATGGGCTACTGCGAGAAGGCGCGCGTGGCAATGCACCGTGAGGATTATGAGGAGGCGCTGCTGCTGCTGCTCGAAGCGGATGAACAGTTTAACGCTTGCGATTCCAAGTTCCTGGAATCGGTGGATAACTATGCGCTGCTCAATTTGGATATTGTGTGGTGCTATCTGTGCCTGAAGAATGTCTCCCAACTGCCGGATGCAGACCGCCGTCTGAGCATCTGCGAGCGCAGCTTTCAGCGCAGCTATGGCGAGAACTATTCGCGTCTTTACGCGCTTAAGGGTCGCGGCTGTCCGGAGCGTGCGCTTATTATGCGTTTGCAGCTGCTCCAAGGCGTCGTGCTGTACCATCAAAATCAGCGGGATGCCGCCTATGAGCGCTTCGAGGCGGCTGCCGCGGTGCTCGGCGAGCTGAAAGTCAACGATGAGCAGCTGCTGCTGCTGGTCGAAATGGGCTTCGAGGTCAGCGAGGCGCGCCTCGCCCTGCGCTCCAGTTCGGGTAACGTAGAACGTGCGGTTCAGTACATACAGCAACGGAAACAACAGCTATCCGATGCCCGCAAACAGTCAAAGGGAGAGCGCGCCATGCACCGCCGCTATGCCAAGCAGGCGACCAAGGACAGCGACTGGGTTAATCCGCGTAGCGTTTGCACCCTTACCGAAATGGGGTTCGATCGTCGCCTGGCGGCGGCGGCGCTGCGCCGCACCCAAAACGATGTGCCACGCGCAGTGAGTTAGCAAGTCCCTCTGTGCAAGGGATTGACTTTATATGTGAATATCTGTGAATGCTTTTAGGTGGAACTGCTGCAAACCAACTCCGCTGAGCTGCGTGCAACTTTACTTGAGTCGCAAAGCGCTGACGCCGTACAGCTGGCTGCCCTGTTGCAGCTGGGCTTTACAGAGCCGGCTGCACGCGCAGCCCTCGAGAGCGCACAAAACAATTTGGAGCAGGCAACGGATTTTCTGCTCAAGGCTATTCAGAGCGAGGAGGAGCTGTTGCAGACCGTTGAGCGTGTTACACAGCTAGCCACCGATGGCATTGGCAGTGATGCAGCGTCCACGTCACAGGCGGCCACATCACCTACCGGCTCCCTCATAGATGCCGTGCTGCAAAAGGCCAAAGCCGAGATGGAGGCATATCAGGCGTACAAGCGTTTGCACGCCGATCTCACGCACAGTGATCAGGACTATTTGGATTTGCCGCTGCTGCAAGAGGAACAGCTCCTAGCCGAGTACCGCAACTTGCTCGAGCAGTAAACGGGAGTCGCTAGCTGCGTTAGCTGTTTGTTTTTAGCATTTAAGCCATTAAATTTAATTACGTTCGTTACGGCGGCTACGGCACGCTATATAAAAACCGGTTTATCACATGTGGATAACTGTAATCATGACTTGTGTATTGCAAATCGGTGACTTATAATGGCACTTAAGTGGGATTCCTCCCGTTGCTCCTAATCCCCGCATTCCCGATGCCAGTATCCCAGACCCGTAACCCAGCTTCTAGCGATCTGTCAACTGTAAGCGTAGTGCGCATTGCGTCTTGGCAAATAGTCGCATATTTGTATATATGTATATGTTTGTATATATAATGTATATATTATAATGTCCATGTAATCGAATAGTCTGTGATAGTGTGTCACACAGGTTATTAGCGTCTCATGCTAATTCATTTTATTTACCCAACTGACTAGATCATTGTCAATCTGCTGTTGCTGCGCCCGTTTGACCTTGTGCCAGGCCAAAGGTTGGGGTACATTTTGTAAAGACTTCATTATTCATTCAAATTCGGGCTAACATTTCACAGCACTCGGCTAAGCTGGCTGACAAAAGCTGTATGCTGTCTTAACGATCTCATCCGCGAGCATTTGGTATCAGGAATTCCAAATAATAACCATAAACACTGGATAAATTGCGGCTGACATGCCAATTTCCATAAAGCTCTTCCTGTTTCGTTGTTGTTGTTTTTACTCACTAAATGACATCAACTACGGACAATTATCGAAGCAGATGAGGCGGCATAAGTTAACGGCCAACGAAGCGCAGCCCTGAAATCTCATTGTTGTCAAGGGATTCTGTATGTTGCTGTTGATTTTTGAATATTTTTGTTTTTGTTTCTAAATAACTATTTTTATTGGCATTCAACAGTTATTAACAATTTCGAATGCTGTAATTAAATCGTTTTAATGAAACAGTGATTATATGTATATGTAAAAATGTTCTATCAAAGAGGGGCTTGACAAAGTACTCATTTCTAAAATGGCCTCCATTTATCTTGAATTATGAATAACTAATGTAAAAAATGTTTTTTTTTTTGTTTTAATACCCGGAACCCTATTTAAAATGGGTTAAAGGGTATAATGTATTTGTGCAAATGTATGTAACAGGCATGAACGCAAGGATCTCAGAACCCATAAGAGCTAGAGTCCGCAAGTTTGTTGCCCCCCAATTTAAGCCACAATTTTAATGCAATTGTTTTTTTTTTGAGAATATACGAATATTACGAATAGCATAATAAGATCTACTGTTTAAAATGTCATCAAGACGGCTAAGAAACAGAAGTCATTAAAGAAAACGTGTTTTGGCTGCCCACGTGTGCAGCAGTTAGCGCAAAGTGCAAGAATTTCTGTATACATGTACACACACACATTCATGCGCGTTTTTATTTAATTATATCAACAGCATTGCAACTGCGATTGTATTGTATTCTGAGCTGTGTGTATGTGTTGCTATTCAAATTCGCTTTTTTCTCGGCAAAAGTCAATCGGAGGTATGGCTTTTAAGTTGATGCGGTGGTAATTAGTGCGGTATGTAACGGGTTCAAATCTTATTGAAGGAACTTTTTTTTTTTTTAATTTATTTTTATTACTGCTTAAGCAAACGCGCTCGTAGCGCGAGCTGCATCTTGTGATGGTAAAAGAGGATACAGGATACCCCCTAGTCGGGAACTCCCGACTAGAGCCTCTTACTTGATATTTGTATATATGTACATGTATAAAAAGATTCACACGTGGCTTATACAAATTTATACAATTTGGAAAATAAATAATTTGAATCAAAAAATCGCTGTATCTTTTAAGAA